GTGTGCTGCTTTTCAAGAGATGTAATCATGTTAGAGGGTTTCAGTGGCCCCATATTGTTTTAGTAGCTATAATGTAGTATGAGGCTTATGATCAAAGAGCATTATTCATCTTATTAATCGCTGTATTTATGGCATTACTGATTAAATAGTTTATAAGGCAACTGGGAAACCAGACCTGCCCTGGTACTCCAAAAAAACACCTTTTAAATCAAAGCAACTGAGAACAGGAAAGTGCAACCCTTTAAACCTGTGCTTGAGTGTGGTGCAATAGATAACAGTAGCTTTGTCCTTGCCAAGTTAGGCAGGTATATTCTTTTCCATCTCAGTTGTAGGGAGGACTGGGAAGCTATGTGTAGGATCTCATTTTCCTTATGGCACTAGCAATGTGGGCTCTCCTTGGTGGTGGAAAACCCACTATATATCTGCTGTCACTCCAGCCCAGAGATGCTGTACAACAGACTAAATGGCCAATGAGATGTTCAGGGAAAGATCTAAGTGAGCTGTTTCCACTGCACTGTTGGCAGCCAGACACTGTTCAAGCATTAGAGAAATGACTACAACATTAGTTATTTTTTACATTAATATTGTGGTTCAAGACTAAATTAAAAGCACCATGCTGTCTTCTTCACAATCCCAGTCCAGCCCTAAAGTCAGCAAGGGAATATACTCAATCCAGTGCTTCGGGCACATGAAGTAAACATAATAATAATAATAATGATAATGATAATAATAATAACAACAATATAAATTTTCTGATCCTTCAGCTGAAACAATCTGAGAAGTTGCTTTAAAGCACAAATTCATTTGGAAGTTCTCCTCAGTATCTTATTTCCAGTCCCACCTGGGCAATCTTCTTGACCAGTTTCTCAGCTCAAATTATAATGCTTGGGGTTGGTTTGTTTCTTCTCCCACTTAGAAACAAAATGGTAGCTGTTTAACAAGACTTTTCCAATGAATGGTCAGGATAGCAAACTTAAGATATTGCTAATCTGAATGTAAAAATCTGCAACCTTTTTTCAATCCTGATGGCAGATGAGAAATGTAAATATAAGTTCTACATGATTAGTTAACTATCTTTTCCTTTTCCACTTCATTCACTGCGCCAAATAGATAACATCTTCTATGAGTAGAATATATCTCACCCAGCTTCAGCAGTCTGAAAATCACTGTTTGTAAGGACTCCCATTCTGCTGAATGGAAGGAAGGAGGCTCTGCCAAGTAGTGTTTCAGTCTATCTTTAGGTAGATCTCAGACATACAATCAGTTGTCTTCTTAGAGACTCCTACATTTCTCTGCTGACCAACAATGGAACCGAGGCAACCTGCAAACATCAGATATCTCCTTTTCAGACAGCTAAAATTAGGTGAGGTGTATCTCATCCTCAGCACAGTTCTTCACTGTTTAGTGTATAGCCTGATGCCACATTTTCTGTAATGCTAGTGAATTCCTTCAGCATCTGCAGTGTCCATTACCTCCATGGGGCTTTGGTTGGCAATGAAGTATCTAAATCTGGAGGTTGTCTCACCAGCAGTAAACCTTTAGCAGGTGAGGGTTAGCATGCTACCTGAGCATCCAAAGCTTTCTTTATGTCAATGAAGAGAAACGTGCACTTTTGGCTTCTGTTTTAGTGTGAGATTAATCTTTCCCTAGAAGCGCCTGTGTTTGACTCTCTGTGCCTAACTGAATGACAGCCACTGTTATTACCCTGTCTAGACAGCTGACATTTAGCCAGATGAACCCCATGTGAAGTGCTCTGCGACCAGGAATTCGTTTGTTTCATAGCTCCCTCTAAGAAAAGTGGAGGCAATATCTGAACAGAATAAATTAATAGCATGATTAAAACAAAACCATTTGCTAGTTTTGGGTGTGGATTCTGACACATCTAGGGCTTAACTTCCCATGGATCTACCTGGCATTTTCCAAAGAGCAAGCCCCTTTAATGAAAAATATGTCAAGTAATTTGCAATTTCCCAATCCATAAGCTGAATCAGAAATATTCTATTATGATTTACCTTTGTGCTTTATCCAATCTTGACTATAAATAAATGGTGAGCGTGAGTTATTTTCATTACAGGAAGTTCTGTTTGCAATGCAGTTTTAATAACCTTACATATGTTTCATGGTGTTATTTAGGCTTTCTAAACTGCCTGTTGTTACGAAATCGCAGCAAACAGAGAGATTGATTCATTCTGCCTCTTGTTTCATTGGAAAAGCATGCTAGTGTGCAGACCCTCACAGTTGCTCATGATGTGAACTTGAGTTGACAGAGAAAGATGAGACCATGTATGGGTCTGAGCTAATGATGGGAAAACTTGGCAAGAAGTTCTTGTTACTGTCTTTCACTTGTGTGTTTTGAGCAATGAAGCTGTACAAGCTCCATTAGATGAGCTATATTCCACAGCTTGAGGGCTGTGGTGACTTAAGATTACTCCTTTACTTGGTCAGCATTTTAGCCTTCACCATCCACAGCTCAGCTCATACGAATGGTTGACAATTTCCCTGCCCAGCAAGTGTCATCTCTTCTTATCAGCAATGCTCAATGGCTACCCTCACATTTCTGTGCTTGGTATAGATAAGGGATATGTACTGCACGCTGAAATGAGCTATGGGAAGGCTTATATGGACAGGTCATACTTTTTTATATGTGATAGCCAGAAGGGAGCTCTCATGTTCTGGTAGGGTCTATTTGCTACGATTTATAGCTGCAATCGTGGCTGATTACAGTATGTGAGAAGGGTGTATCACTAGAGCTGTTGCAGAGGTGATTATGAAGTGGAACCATGAGGCCCTGGAGCGCTTTATTTGCCCCCCTGAATGTCCAGTAATAGCTGAAAATGGAGTGGTCAGGAGGGAAAAGCTGTTGACAGCCAGGAAAGTTACTGTAATACAAAAGGCCTCAACTTGGCACCAGGCAACCATTTCTGTTTTTGCTAACAATTAAGATTATATTTCCTTAGGAAAAAAAAACCCAAACTATTTCTTCAGAAAAAGTTCTGTGATTAAAGCTTCATGTTTTATTTGCTGTCTGCTGTCACACCACGATTTGCCCAGGGACTGGCCCGTTAGGTTTTTTGCACCTGTTTGTTCATGCAGATTTGAAGAATCATATTAGGTGAGTGCTTTTTCCTGTCGCAGCTGATTTCAAGCCACACGGTGACTTTCAACTCGAAAGGTTCATGAGGGCAACTGAGAAACCCAAAACTCTTAGGGCCTAAGTTCACCATGCAAAAGTGTTAATTTGTTCTAGAAAGGTTTTGGGAGCTTACCAACTGAAGCTAAAAACACTGCTGCAGTTTAAAATCAATTTATCAAAAGAAGTTACTTGAATATCACCATGTTTGTGTGCTGGAATTACACGCACAGGAGTTAATACGTGTAATTTGGCATGTGGGAATAGGTTAGAATAGCCCAAATAAAAGAAAACCCCTGTAAATCCATAAAGTACTGCCCCCTGAAGAACTGGATGAATTCAGGAGCATGGGACATTTGTACCCCAGCTGTCCCCTGGAAGGGTTTAGTAGCTGGGACTTCATGTCATAAAACTATGGGTTCGTTGTGCCTGGGACCATATTGACACTGTACCCATGTGTGTGGTTTATGGTTGAACTAATCCTTGTCAGAAAAGTTCAGTCTGTTCTGGCTTTTCCCAACAAGAACAAGGCTAATCTCTGAAGTGCTGTTTTTGTGGGCCGAGACAACTACCTAAGAGCAGAACAAAGTCGGAAGCTTTATACAATTGTCTGCAGTCAAGATTATTAACTCACAATAATGATGAGTTCATTGGAATAAGACTATGTCATGTTAAAATGATATGAAAATTGAATGTAGGCAAGTGTCTCGGAGTAGCGGTGTTCAGTAAGGACATTTCAATAAAGACCTGTTAGGGATGATCCAGGGGAGAACTACAAAACTGATCATGGGGCTGGAACTGTAAAGGCAAACTGAAAGAGTTGGGAATGTTTAGGTTGAAGAAGAGAAGGCTCTGGAAAGACCTCATTCTGGCCTTTCAGTATATAAAAAAGGCTTATAGGAAAGACTGAGAGACTTTTTACCAAGGCCTATAGTGACAGGACAAGGGGCAGCAGTTTTAAACTGGAGAGTAGATTTAGACTGGAGATAAGGAGAAAAGGGTGAGGGTGCTGAGGCGCTGGCACAGGGTGCCCAGAGAAGCTGTGGCTACCCCATCCCTTGCAGTGTTCAAGGCCAGGTTGGAAGGGGCTTGGAGTAACCTGGCTTAGTGGAAGGTGTCCCTGCCTGTGGCAGGGGGTTGCAACTGGATGAGCTTTGAAAATCCCTTCCAACCCAAGCCATTCTATGGTTTTATGAGTGTTTCAGTCTGTACCTGTGCAGTTTTTTACATAGGAATTAATATGTTACACAGCATTTCCAGGGTGTTGTGGCAATGCAGATGATGACTATTCCTGGAGAACTCTGTTCTAACCTCTCCAGGACCTGTTACAGTTTGAATTAAAGTTTGGTTTTGGGTTTTTGAACTTGTCCTGGGTTTAGCAGTAGCAGTCAATTTTTCTCCTTCTTGGTAGCTGCTGCAGCGCTGTGTTTTGACTTTCAGCCTGGGAACAGTGCTGATAAAAATGATGTTTTCAGTTGTTGCTAAGTAATGTTTACTCTGATCAAGGACTTTCTGAGTCTCATGCTCTGCCAGGAAGGAGGGGAAGCCGGGAGGAAGCAGAGACAGGACACCTGACCCAAGCTAGCCAAAGAGGTATTGCCTTCAGCACCTGGGATTCCCAGGCAGTCTCCCATCCAAGTACTAATAGAGCCTGACCCTGCTTAGCTTCCGAGATCAGACGAGATCAGGTGTTTTCAGGGTGGTGTGGCCGTAGGCCATAGGCAGATTAGACCACGTCTAAATTTTGTTCTGTCTTTTCCCAACAAGAACAAGGCTAATCTCTGAAGTGCTGTTTGTGCGGGCTAAGACAGTTAAAGACATGTCCTACTGCCTGATCAATGTCTCACATTTACACTTCCATCACGGACAGGATTTGACCTTATGGATTCATTCAGCGTTAAGCAAATTTTTGGCATGAAAGAAAATGGAATTCAGAGTGCTTATGTTCGACTTGGAAGCTTTCCTGTTGTTCAGAAAACTGAGTGAGTACCCTGATTTTTCACTTTATTTTTGTCTGATCCCCCATCTGATTTGGTTCCTCTAGGTTAACCTTTTAGTACTTATCCCATATCTACACATGTATTGCTGTTTTGATCAGCTCCTTCAGTTCTGGAAAAGAACTCATACAATGTGGTTGGGAACCTCTGCATCAACTCCAGGATCCACCCTGGAGGAATATGAGCTGGTTTCAGTGTATCTCAATGGTTGTGAGGAACAGTATCAAAAAATTCACAAAGAATTTAGGGCGTCACAAATAGCTTCTAAAAGGAATATTCAGTAGCACTCCCATTGAGCTATATATCTGCTAATCGCGAAAGACCAGTTCCTAGTAGATGCTGTTATCAGTTAGTTAATTAACATGGGGGTTGGTTTTATAAAAGAATGAGCAATTTTTAAGCCTGTGTCAATGTGGATTCAGTCCTTGAAGCCTTTTTATGATCTAAGGCTGCTGGTTGTGTGATAGTCTATCACAACAGTTTCTCTTCAGGTTGTCATTTGAGTCCTGCTAGCATTAGCCTTGAAAAGAGTGAGTGAATAATTTCACTGAGTAACCATGAGCTATAGATTGGATTGTCGTCATTAACATTTTTGCAGTGAATTTCTCCGTGCTGGTTTGGACTTCAGCTTTAAAAAATCAATAGTAATTCTTTTCCTGCTCATGGATGAGGGCTGTTATTTTTTATTCTGTTTTAGCTCTTTTACTCAGCTCACTGCATCTTTGTGGTTGTCCTGTAACTTACATTTGCTTGGTTTCATAATATCCTGGAGCCATCCTGGATTGATTTGCCCTTCTCCCCTTACCCTCTTTCTCCATATAAACACACAGCCTTTAAACAACAACAGAAAGTAAAAATATAATATACTGAAAGGAAAATTGCTTGCTATAAAGTCCATAAATGATGTGATGTCAAGTCTCAGGATAAGTAAATTCATCAACAGGGAGAAGGCCAGCCAACTGAAGACATCTTGGACTTGATAAGTAGTATATACATAACTGCTGTGTGTGAAGAGAAGAATAGACCTATTTTGTTTGGCTCACAGCAGTCTCTGGGTAGAATCTCTGCTTGCTGCACCTTGTAACAGCTATTGGTAGAGTGCTTTATCACTATAAAACATTGCTCCCAAGACTACATAGAAAGAAGCCATTGAACTGAAGAAGTCCAGTTTCCACTGAAGAAATTCTGGGAATGATGAGCTATTGAATCTGAGCTGCAACCCTTGGGAATATAAATAGAAACTGTCAAGGATGAGTTGGCTATCTCCATATTGGGCAACCGAGTTACACTGCAGGGATGCTATGTCCAGTCCTTCTTTCCATCATTCAGTGGATAGAAATGGAGTGAATGAAAGTTTAAAGAACTGTGAAGCAAGTCTAGTAGCAAGAAATACAAGAAGTGCAGTGGAGTCTGGTAAAATTAAGAAGCAGTTAACAACTCAGGTGATTGCTCTCTGTAAAAACCTCTGGGAAATCAAAGTTTAGTAAAGGGTCTTTGGTGCTAATAATAGTAGTAGACTGAAAGTCAGTGGCTACCTGTTAGCAACATCAGAAACAGCATGGAAGAAAGGCACTTGTAACAATGACTGTCAGTAAGCACTGGAACAGGTTAGTGCATATTACACAGTTGTCCATTTCATTTATTTTTTCAAATTAAGGGTTGAAGATTTTGTTGTGTTGTTTCTGTTATTGTTTTCCCAGAAAGACTGAGAGTGAAGCCAGACCAACCAGCTATGATGACTTTCCATCTGCTCAGATTGCACCCATTTAGTTGTTGTTGTTGTTTTTACAATAAGTAAGACAATTAGAAGTAAAACCATCCTTAATCAGTAGATTGAAATGATTAAGCTTCCTTTTGAATGATTGACTGACACATGGCATTAAAGAAGTTCTATATTTTCAGCCTTTTGCATTTTAACCTCCATACTCTTGTGGTTTGGAAATGAACTCGGATATAACACAATATTTGGTTCATTTTACCCTTTGGATGTCAGGGTTCTGAGATGGTGCATATAGAGTCATTGCTCACAGAAAATGAAATCTTGTGAAGCTGCACAAAACTGATAATTGGAGTAATAAACAAAACAAAACATCTGTCCTGTCTTGCAGATAACCTCAAGCAATGTTTAGCAACTGATAACAACATCTCATAATTAGATAGAAAATCATTAACTGAGTAATATATGTAATCCACTGTATTATCTGCTTAAAGGATTTGTATCCTTTTGTATAAGTACTAGTACTTTTACAAAGTGCCAGTTTAGCTGACTGGGAAATGTGCCTGTTCATCTTTCAGTCTGGAGCCTATGACTATGAACTTTCTTCCTCTTTGTGGTGAGGCATTCTGTGGTGGCTCTTTAAGCAACCAGATACAGCCAGGAATTTGGCTGCAGTCAATGTCCTGATCACTGGGGGACTTACAGGTCTCTCTAGCTGGCTGAGGTCTGGTCCATAAATCTGGCTGGTGCTTCTCCCCACTCCTCAGGTAAGGGGCTGTCCTACTGGTTGCTCATGGCTCCTCAGTGGACCTTCTTGCCAAAGGTGTGTCCCAGATTCTCTGTTATTCAGGCTTGTTCCTCTTTACTGTTGTCTTGGCCAATGCCAAGCTTTTGGCTATCTTGTCCTGTCCTTTATCTATTTCTCCTAGTCCTGACTCCTTCTTCCCGGCTATGTGCATCCCTCAGTTTTCTCTTGCTTACTCTGGTTCCAGCCTGACTTGGTCCTCATCTCAGCTGCCACACCACATAACTTCCTGATGCTTGGCCTAGCTTTTAGTCAGATCTGTTTGCTGTATGTATTGGTACAGTGTTGTCTTCCCTAGTTTCTGAGTCTTGCATTGTTGTGGACATAAACCTTGCTGTGTTTGTCCTGATATCACACTGCTGGAATTTGGAAAAGACCAAGATACTGTCCTGAAGTTAGGAATGAGACACACGACTACTATGAAAAAGTGGTGAAATCAGACTCCTAGTTGAAAGATCTTGCTGTGGCCACTGTCTGATCTCATGACCACTATTGTCAGATGAGTGTTTGTCATCTAGAAGAATAGCTGTGTCTACCCAAATTGGCTGTGAAGTTAGTAGTCAGATATCTATTAGGAGCAGACCTGATGAATCCTTCGTAGGCTTCTTCTTTCCTAGCTGGTGAAACGGGGTAAATTCATGGGCCCCAGGGCCAGACCTGTACCATTTGTGTTCTTCACCTGTTTTTGTGCTCATAACAAGTTCATTTTGACTGTTGGCAAGCAATGATAACATTGACAGTGCCTTGGCCTGGTGTGGAGGATGACGCATGGCAAAGACTGCTCCCCAAAGGCAGTTTGGTTATGATCACTCTCTCTGGGAAAAGAGCTTTTGGCTCATCTGCACTCGTAGAGAATGGATACTCACTGTTATTAACTAGTATGAATATAAGCGTTGAGTCTCCTCAATGTAAGGAGATCAAGCATGACTGGAGTGGAATGTCTGGAGGGTGGGTTTTTATTGTCTTTTAGAGAGTAAATGACTGAGGGAGAGCTGACAAACATAGAAAAGGCTGAAGCAAAAAGAGAACAAGTTCTTCATGAATTCCTCGTGGAAAACAAATATGTTATTTTAGGAAGATCTGGTTAAACCTTCCTATGTTAGCAAGTGATATTTATCATATTTGCAACATGTCAGGTAGTGAAACACGGGAAGAAGTTACCTTTGAGAGGTTATATCTGTTCCACTACTGATGTTTCTAAAGTAGTGACCAAAAAGTGTCTGCCATGGATGTATAGGTGGGGTTGGTTCTGTTCTATGACAATCCTCTTATAGCCTTCTTTATCCTTTTCCTTGTTTTTCCTTTTTTTTTTTTTTTTGTCATTCTAAGAGCCTATGGAAACGAACTGATATTCTCCAACCTTGTTTCTCAGATCTTAGTAAATTGCATTTCATATTAATGGTTTTTATCTGTTGTAAAAATGGTCAAATTGCCCAACTACGTTAATTATTCCCACTAAATGCAGACATCCTATTAATTGTTGTTACATTCAGTGTCTGAAATGAGAACTGATAATCTTATTTTTCTCCATTGTGTTATTATTATAGATGTAGGATCTCATGCTGATTGTCACAGATGTAGGCTCTTATGCCAAACAAAAGCATGGGAGAAAGAGGCTATATATTGAAAATGGGCAATGCCTGAAAGAGTCTTCTGCCTGGTATTCTAGTTCTTTTCTTTGTAGAAGTGATTCACCTGACCTTGTAGCTGGGTTAATTAACTCTTAGAGTAACCTGCAGCACCAAGCTCTTGTCTTGGAGTTTTATAAAGGCCTCTTCTGCAATCCATCCTGTTGTCAGAATTACAGACCAAAGAGCTAGCAGAGCGCTCCCTGCAGGTACCAGGCATCCAGCAAAGCTCCATATTATGGATCATCAGTTCAAGTCAGCCTTGGGTGAAAGAAGGAAATAAAACATTTCTGGGGACAGCAATTCCTGCCCTTGGATTCCTAAATAAAGCTGAATTTCTAGATGGAGACCACTTTTTAGTGAGGAAATAAATGAAAACTCACAAAGTTTTGTGTTATTTATGCACTAATGCACCTCTGTAAAAGGTACAGGGACTAAGGGCTTCAGAAACAGCCTTTATCATATCTTCAGGGCAACAAGAGTTTCTTGAGATTTCCTTTTGGCACAAAGCTTTTCTGTGCTGGGAACTTACAGCCAGTTCCACATCACCTTTAAAAGTCAGTAGAGGCTGACAGGTAATAGGTCATTATAGCTTTCTATCATTTAAATCCACCTGATGGGCCATTTGTCAGCCTCTGTGTGATGAGGTATGGCCAGACTCAGAAGGATTTTTGGTACCCAATTCCCAATGCATCTGAACAACTTTTCTGAATCTAAGCTTGTATGGTGATATTCCTGTTCCCAGCTCAGAGGAATCCAGAAAGACTGTCTCAGTACAGAGACCAACAGTTGCCTCTTCCAGATTTAGTTGGAGGTCATCAGGCCAAGGCTCAATGTGGTATCTTGGGGATTAATTTCAACAACATGCTTCTATACCTCCTTGCTCAGCAAAGAAATGATGTCTCAGCTACAGCCACTGTCATCTGTACTTGGAACCAAGCACACCTGCATATGCAGAGTTGAAAAGCCATTAGGGAAAAGCAGTATTGAAAGCATGTGTCCTGCTGCTGTTGATGTGGCAATAGCAAATATTATGGATCAGGAAGAGAGCAAACCACCCTCAGAGCTGTAAATCCCCTACCTTGTGCCACCCCTCGATTAAATGAGGACCCATTTCTCTGTTTGCTTTTCATTGAGTAAGAGGTTGGATTTAGTGGTGGGTTGTAGCTAGGAAAGTAGTTCAATAGGGCTGTCTGCGCCCAAAATGTGAGTCAGAATCTTAAAGAGCAGGACAGAAAGGGGACTTATTAAATCCAGTTATGATTATGAGGAGTGAGTGAAAATAAATGCACAAGGCATGTATGCTGAAATGACAGAGTTGGAGGAGATGAGCCACAGAGAAATGTCCCCTCTGGCAGCACTCTTGTTTAGACACATCCATGGTTTTTGTTCAAGGCAACAGAGCGATAAGCAATGCCTTTTCTGCTATCAATATTGCCACTTGGATGAAGTTTCTTAAGGGGGGGAGGAAAGCTGCCCACACTGTCAGTGATGCTAAGAGCTGAGGCATGCATCTTCTTTGACACACTTGGACAAGATGAGTGTGCAAACACATTTTGAGAGAAAACTTGCACAAAGGCATGTCAACGTTGAAGGAGATCTGGCAGGGGGCCCTATTGGGAGGGCTGATGTGACTGAGCTGACTCTCTCTTGCCAAACATCCTGTTGGTTTTCATGGTGGCTTTCAGTGCCCTCGTCATGCCTGTTCTTTTTTCCATGGCAACTCTGCCACAAGGAGACAACTGACACACTTCTCTTAGCTGGGAGCGTCTGGTTATTTTCCTTGTCTTAGGAGAGATGGGTGATGCTGCGTGGTGGGTCTGTGACCAGGGAGGGCTAGTTTGTGAATTGTAGAATCATAGAATCATTTAGGATGACAGCCAGCTGTCATGCTTTGTTTTCTAATGGATGTTTATGCCTGACTGCTCGGATATCCAGAAACAAAGCCATGATATTTAGGAAGGGTCATTTTAGGAATGATCAGAGGAGCAAGCTGGCTTGGGCATGGGAAACAATGAGGATAAATGGGACTCTTCAGGTGGGAAAAGAAGTGGCTCAGAGGCTTTATGAGCAAAGTTTTCAGAATCCTAAATGGCATAAAATGTAGAAAAAGAATAGTTAATTGTGTTGTCTGAGAACTGAGCTACATCCAAAACAAACAAGAGGAGGCTCATTATACAGTGGATAGCAAAGTGTGATTCATTGCCAAAGGATGTTGTGAATGTAATAAATATACCTGAGTTCAAGGGGAGACTGAAGAAGTTAAATCTATAAAAAGAAGATAAATCCATAAAAAAAAATATTAATATAGAAATTTTGTCTGTCTCTGAATTTGACCCCTGGATCCTAGATTTGGAGCTAGGAGGGAGGCTTGTTCTGTTCATTCTCGTTCTTAAGCACCCAGTAAAGGATAAATACTGGGTTAGTTATCCCTTCTGTGCAGCCCTGTATGCTCACGTTACTGTATATTCTTATGTTAGGTGCATATGTCTGATGTAACCAAAACCAACCAGTGGTGGCTTTGGTTACATCAGAACTATGCATGCATCATGGTGTCACATTAAGTAAATTTCTGCCTAATGTGTTTTCAAAATTTCCTGTTCTCCCAGGCCATCAGCCAAGGAAAATCTTCTTGGACTGGCATGAGGTATAGTGCCTGTTTTGGGGCAAATAATACTATATTTGTTGCTATGACTTGGTACTTTACAGAGGGTTTCAGTCTTGCCTGCCCATTCTCAGGTGCTACAGGTCTCCAGTGCCTCTGGAGAAGAGCAGAATGATTTACAGATTGCATGAGCTGAATCATCAGCTGAAAACCAACTGTTTTGACATGATGGATACTAGACTGAAGGTTTTCACTGTTTCTTACCTAATTTGGGAGTTTCAGTATTGGAATGAAAAAGGGCTCCTTGAGTACAGAGCTGCCTGGAGGGTGAAAGCTCAGGTTCATCTCTCTGCAGGCTGCCAAATACAGCAAGCAGATCATGTAGGAACTCTATAGTACACCTGGGAAGCATTGTTGGGACATGCAGAGGGCTTTAGAAGTTCTGCTCTTCACTGCTAAGTTCTCTTTTCCCCTCCCTATGCTAGGGATGTATTTCCCCAAGGTCTCCCTGATGAATATGCCTTTGTAACTACCTTCAAATTCCGGAAGGCTTCCAGGAAAGAAGACTGGTATATTTGGCAGATTATTGACAAGTACGGCATACCACAGGTAAGAGACCCTTTGAGACAGCAAGAGCAGCCTTGTTTACCTTTTATTGCATGAACCAGCTTTCTTGCCTTATCCTCTCACTCCTTTACCTTTCATTCAAGTCCTGAAGGTAGGTTTGCATGGACCTTGATTGTTGTTAGCATGCAGATAGATAGATGTGTTAGTTGTAAAGGTGGTGAAAAATATACCATCCTTGCTCTTGAAACCACTTTTGGATTTCTGGTGTTTTGTTCAAGTAATTCTGTTTAGGGAATACATTTTGCCTGTTTGGAAGAAGGTTGGCACACAGATGTACCGCAGAGCAGTGAGCTATTTCAAGTTTTCCCACAGGCTTCTGGCTACCATGCAAAGGCATTTTGGATTCCCTGCTTGGGATGTGGATGACTTAGGATAAGGACCTTATTGATCCACAACCCTGAGTCCTGGCTGCTGCAGAATTTGATCTAATAATATCTGTCAAGTACTCTCAGGTACTCAGAATACCATTAAAGTATATAAAGGGCTTCTTGTTCCTATATAACATATTCTTAGCAGCATGCTAAGTTTCAAGCCTGTTTGAGGAGGGAGCCGTTTGAGTGGGCTGTATGTTTTCTACTCAGTACAAACATGGTGCTTATGGCATTTCCAATGGCTTTCAACTGGGCTGTTGGTTTGGGCTCACGTAGCCATTTAAAGCAGTATTGCTGCTTTGGGAGTGGTGTTTGAAAGGATTTGGGAAACTCACATTGGAGGAAGGATAGGTGCAGTTTGAGGACTTGGCTGAGTTTCAGACAATGGCAACAGGTTTATAAGACAATTATTAACTGTACTTTATTAAATGAAACATGGTTTTCTCTGCTACATGCTCAGTAGATTGGTTTCATACTAGGCAATAAGTCATGTGTCCATGTCCCATGGGATAGCTGAGGACTTGTGATGGCACTAAAGAGCACAGAAGTACTGGAGGATTGCACAGGATAGAGGGATCCAAAGCAAATTCAGCTTTGTTATCTGCCTCTGGGGAGATGCCCCTGACATGTGCTACCACCCAGCCATGCCTAGGCATTGCCCGAGAGACATCAAGGTGGCATGTGCTGAAGCCATGTCAAGGATTATACTCAGAAAAGAAGTCTCTAGATGGTCATAGGTCTGCACCCAAGCCTGTGCTTTGCCCTGACTTTATTTACTAGAACAGGCTCCCTGTACATATCTCACACAAAGCTCCATTCTCTGATATTTGCTTGGGCTTCTTGCCATATGCTGTACCATCCCTGACCTGGCGGTGTCAGTTGTGGTAGAAAGCAGGCAAAAGTAAGGATAAGGCTTTGTACTTCATTAGCAAAATCACTTCTGTCTGCTTTCAGGTCTCGATCCGGCTGGATGGAGAGAACAAAGCTTTAGAGTACAACGCTGTTGGGCTCACCAAGGACGCTGTGAGAGTGGTCTTCCGCAATGAACGAGTCAGTGATCTGTTTGACCGCAGCTGGCACAAAATTGCCCTCAGCATTCAGTCAAAGGCTGTCTCACTCTACATAGACTGCAGACTGGTGCAGGTGTTGCCTATTGAAGACAGGGAAAACATCGACATTCAAGGAAAGACTGTGATTGGCAAACGCTTGTATGATAGTGTCCCCATTGATGTAAGTACTGAGTGTGCTGATTAGAGCTGCAGTAACAATCAGCATTGGGTTTGCAGTGCATGAATGGGTGTTTAGGGGTTATACCCTTTTCCTGAAGCAGCGTCACTGAAATATTACCTGTGTTACATGGCTAAGACAGATTGGTGTTGAATCATCTACAGCACTTGTTGTCTTTTTATGTGAGACTGTCTGTATCTCTGTAATAGAGATTAAAAATGAGGAATACATTTCATCTTTCTGTCTAGTCCCAGAATATAAAATATTGAAAATCAGAAATACAGAGAAAATTATCCACAAATACCATCAAACTGCATACTCAGCTACACGTGTAAAGGTCTTCTGCTGTCTGACCATGGCATTATGAATGTTTCCATCTGTGATAGGAAGATCTGGGGAGAAAAAAGAAAGGTTGTTAACTCAGGAAGATCATGGCATGTTTTCAGTTCCCCACAAAAGATACCTGATATTAAATGACTCGATCCAGTTGAACCAAAGTTTAGGCCTGTAGGTTGGACCTGATTATTCAGAAGCAGGGTTAAACTGATATAATTTATGTGTGATTGTTTGGTGTTTTGACACTTCTGTAATCTTTCTTAGCTGTGCAAAATAGATGGAATGTGCATATTAAACATGCTAATAGCATTTCTCATCCAGGGTAGAATTTCAGAAGATGCAAGGCACAACAGGGGAAAACTAAACTTCATGTCTAGATGAAATTCTAGGACGGATGGAGGTGGTCAGAATAAGTCTTCTCAGACAGAAATTTGGCCAGGACTTGCCTCCTTATGTGCATGAAAACCTGTACCAGAATTTTAATAGGCATATTTAAGGTCTCATTAGCTCAGTACTCTTGGATCATGCTGAGATATTGGTCTATTATTGATAGAAAGAGATGGATACTGTCTACAGGATCCATAGAATCACTAGGAAGTTAGCCCCCTCTGTTTTTTATTTGTATTCATCTGCTCTGCTTGTTTCCAAGCAAAAGGACATGCAGTCTTTAATAATTCACTGTCTCTGAGATATTGCCTCACTTTGTCTTCTAGTTTGATCTTCAACGGATGGTTATTTACTGTGATTCTCGGCATGCTGAGCTGGAGACCTGCTGTGACATTCCCTCTGGACCAGTAAGATTCTTTTTGTCACTTATTCATTTTCACATGAACACTTTTCCTTGAAGTCTATTACGTAAATCAGGGAATATATGGCAGTGTGGGATTATAATTTGTTTAATGATGGTGAATGAAACCTAACTATATAATGGGTAACACAGCAGTGCCAGAAGAGGACCACCGCAGAGGGATGAGTATAAGGAATTTGGGGTTTGACGTTTCCAAGTTGATCTTTCTTTGTCAAACTGTGAGGGGAAACAAAACCCTGAAGTGATGATGGAACAACAGAATTGTAGCCTGAAATATTCAACATGTTTCCCACTGGTTTTATTTGGGAAGAGCTTAAACAGTTTCTGCCCAGTTTCCTGTGCCCAGCTGTCATTATGAACTTCCACCTTCCTTGCATTCTTCTCCCCTCAATCTTGGTTAAAGAGATTCATGGTTCATTTTGCCATGTTTTTCCCTGCTGCTTGAATGAATGGCTTTTGTGGGATTGCGTTCCTCACTAGGACTCACTTAGCTGTGTGTTATCCAGTAATGCCTACGCAGTTTCTCTAAAGTGGGTAGACGAGGAAGTTTTCTAGCATTGAAGGCTTTATCATGACCTTGGGTGTTTGGGTGTAGTGCCAGGTCACGGTCCTGACTGAAGCACCTCCAGCGGAAGCAAGGCCCACTGTTGGTAGCGAGCAAGTTGGCCACCTCAAGACATTCAACTGCTCCTGCCCTGCTGGACAAAAGGTGAGTGTTGGGATGAGTGTGTTTCATTTGAAGCATGCTGGATAGGTCTGGAAATAGGGGTATGGCACCATGCAAGTGGGTATTTGTGAAGCACTTGAAGACCTAGAGCTGGAAAACACTTTGTAGAAAGAGACAGCCAAGTGTATGTCATAGGTGGAATGTTAATAGAGGTAATGGCCATCTTCCCACATGTTTTCTTTTTACCTAATCTAGTGATTTTGATCATGCTGATAGTCCTGGTAAAAACCTTGGAAACAAAGGGCTTACTCTTACCCAGCCCAGTTATATTCATCCTTCTTCAAGTAAAACAGAAGATATTCTGGAGGTAAATATAGATACATTGAAAAAACTTCATAGCTTTTAAAAGAAGTGCGCTTGTCTACATTTGCTGTGACTAGGACATTTGAGAAACCAGATTCATTGTCATGAGGGCACGTCAGGTTTAGTCTATTCCCCCCTAAAACCTGAAAACATTTTGGTTGTTCCCAGTTGTTGTAGGGCTTTGTTTTGCAATAGAATGATAACATCAGTGTGATTAATCTCTTTTTATTTGTCTTAGGGGGAGAGAGGTCCAATTGGCCCTGCAGGTCCTAAAGGTCAAAAGGTCAGTAACATGTGCTACTTCCTTTGCTTCATAAAAACAATAAAATGCTTTCAAAGCAAGTCAAGGAGTTAAGATTTTGAGAAATTAAAGTCAGTTTGGCATCTGACTGAGTTCAGATAGTTTTGAATGAGCCTGGGACTGCAAGAGACTCTGTCCATCTTGCATCTTTGCTCTAGGCTTGCATTTGAACTTCTCTGTTGTTGCTTTATGTCATTCTTAGAGTGCGCTCCAAATCTTTTCCTGTAGCTTCTAAACTGGCATATTTGTAAGTTAATGTTATTCATTAGGTCATGCACAGCTTTTATGAGAAGTTACTTGGAAACCCATGTGCTGCTTCTGTACCGTGCCTTGCTCAGCAGTAATAGGTATCTATTGGTTAGGTAGCAGCCTCCTAGTCATGCTGTTAGAGCATTTCCTGAGACTAGGATAAAGGATTAGCCACAACCTGGTATCTTTAGCAAGACTGTCTGAGTCATGATGTTAAATACAGGCCACTTTCCTCAGTAGTTTTCTTCCCAGATAACAGGGTAGGAGAGTGGTCCTGATGTCTGCTTCCAGTTTTACAGCGCAGACTCTATATTATCCTTCATATCCTGCAAGCTTCTTTGATATGCAGATATGTACATTGAACATGCACACATTTTCCTTCTGTGCTTGGTCACAAATAGACCTGTGGGACAACTGGCTTAAAGGGAGCACTTTTACAGGAAGAAAAGGAAGACTCAATATTGCCGAAGAGGTGGAAGTCGGTGGTGTTGGTTCCAAATTTCTCCATCTGTGTGCTTAAAAAGATGTTTGGCAATAATTTGTATTCAAACCTATTTATATCTGAATAACTTCTGCAAATTCAGCTGCTGAATTTATACCTGTTTGCTGAATAAGCAAGTTGCACCTCACCAAAAGTTACTCAGTTGTTATAGAAAGCTGTGGGAAGGGAAAGGAGAAACTTCTGGGTCTTGGGAGGTCAGACATCCTCAGAAATGTGGTGTGGGGTTTTGGGGAGGCTTCGTCTGCTGTCTGCAGGGAGACGTTTTGGCTGATGAGGAGATGTGTTTTGGAGTATGCTTTCTGCTGGCGTGAAGGAACATGGGCACATTACTGCTCAGATGTGCCTGACTGATACTGCGGAAAATATTTCCTTATGCTTCCATGAGTGTATAAATAGCAACTTTCTATTTTAACCTGTGACAGCTTAAATAATGATGGGCTCTTTGAAGAATGGCAGAGCCATGACTGTTGTTGGGAGGTTGCAGAAGGACAATGATGATAATAATAAAAGAGCCCGACAGCAAGACATCCCATTGTCTTTCACTGCTTTGACAAGGTCTATGTGCTGGTGAGGGTGTCTGTCTGTGTACCATGGCACACTGCTGGAGTGCAGGAAGTACTACTTGAATACAAAATAGTTTCTATATACGCACAGCATCAGCAGGTTTTCTGTATCAGATCCCAAAATGTTCATCTCACTCTTGCAGGTGGGTTGCTGAGGAGCAATGCAGATGCGTGTGACTATTCCCTGTCTGTTGTGGTCTGAGACTTGTATTCAGCTGAGGCAGGACTGTGTTGCATTCTCAGGAAGCTGGGGATTTAAATCTAGGCTGTGACAACAATTTGGTACAGATGTGCAGATTTGAGACAAAAGACTTAGCTTCTCCATCTGCTAAATAAGGCAAGGAATAGACTTTGCTCCTGACATGCAAAGATGTTGTGATTAAATAATGTATATCACCCTCAGCAGCAGCTACTACATCGCTATTGCCAAGGACCGGCTTGTGGCAGTCCTTGTTGTATATGCGTGAGCTAATAGCACTCTCCACTCCTCTCTCTGCAACATTACTGAGCTACCCAGGCTAAAATGCTGGCCATGGGACAGAAAATCAATGCTATTTGCAATTCCCCAGTATTACCACCTGGTACTTTATTAAGGAAAGACTAAGACCCCATGGGGGCCCACACTAAAAATAATCATAAGATCTCTCCTATACTCTTAGGTTTGATTAAAACAGGCTAGCAAGCAGGTACAGCATAAGAAAAGACCAAACATTGATTGTCTAAACAGAGAGGAAGTAGTGAACAAATGAATAAGGAAAGAAATTATCAGGAAAAGATGGAAACATAGACATAGAATGGTTTGGGTTGAAGGGACCTTAGAGATCATTGAGTTCCAATTCCTTGCTATGAGCAGGGACACCAGGACTCTGAGTCAAAATTAATCATTTTCTATATAGACACCATCAGTATTGAGGATCCCTTATTTGGGATGAGTTGCAAAGCTGAATTCTACCTCTAAATGACTGGGGCCCAAGAGAGATTTTACAGTCTGATAACCGATAATGAGAAGTGCATTGTGAGAGACTATATGGTCATATAGGAACCCACAAAGCAGCTGGTTCAGCTGTATTAGGAAACCAGCACACAGGTGGTAGGGTTCACCTGAGAAACAAGCCCCACCAGGGGATATAAACAGTGAGAGAGGTCAGGGTTATACCCCTCTGCCCCTTTGGCATTTGGGAGCTTTGTCCCACAGGACAGGGAACTTTGGGGAGGTTGGCAAATGCTGAAAGACTGTGAAGCTCCTTCTCCAAGCTAAGGCAGCACTTGGGTTTGCTTCACTTTCCTCAGACTGATGTCTTTTTCATCCTTTATCCAAAGAAGGAATAATATGATTCTTTCTGTTTTCCTTTCTTAAAAAAGCCAGTTTGAGGGTCTGTTAAGTGAATGTGGCTGTTATATAAGTTGAAAATGGAAGGACTGGTGTTTAGGCTCTGCTCTCCTGATCTCCCATAACATATTCCTTCTTTTTGGAGGTTTGGACAGGCTTTTTTTTTGGTACCATCTGATCAGTGAAAATATTTGACTTGTATAATAAGTGTGGGAAGACAATGAGTTTCTGTTCCTCTATAATTTAAGCCTCCAAAGGCAGGGAGATACAGCAGTACTTGCAGTTTATAGAGGAAAACATTCCTCAGCAATGAGAACCTCTGCCTGAGTTACCCATGCTTCCAAACTGAGGATAATGCATGCAAACAGAACATGCATGTTTTGGAAGGAGATACAATAAAGGATGGTATTGGGAAAGAGTGAGGCAGGGAATAGCTTTAGAAAAATTGACTGACGTGCCTGAAGCAGGATCTTATTGCTAAATTCTAGATGCTAATGATAGCTCAGGCTAATTTACTTTCCTTCCATACCTACCTTGCATGTTGTGTTGTTTGCAGGCTGGCTGGTTGGGGCACTGGGCTGTTAGTCAGTAGGCTTCTGCTTTCTTCCAGAACTGCTGTTGATCTGAGTTTAGAGAGAGTCACTCTTCTGCGAGATGTAGTTTTGTCTACATCATAAAACCGACATTGCTTACCTGCCTTTGGGAAGTCTGTGAAGTCCAGTGTATCAGACATGCTGTAGTGGGATGTGTTTTTTTTTCCCCCACATTAAAAGGAGATTCGGTATAGCTGAAGTGACTTAAAAGAGGTGGCTGCATAAGAAAACTTTTACGAGTTTTGCCACAGCCTATTTGAATTGACTGTGACCTTGTTTTTGCATATATGCAGCTTGTTCTGTGAGGTTTCTTTCTTTTGGCAACAAAAAAAAAAGAGATAAAAGTTAAAGAAAGAAAGAAACTTTCATATTTCCTGTGCTTTCAGAAGCCTGTCCTCACCTGGGGAAAGAAAGCATGATCCTGAGAAATGTTTCAGTTTCTGGTTTCAGCTAAACACATTGAGGGGGGCATAGATCAGGATAAATCAAATAGAGCCACAAATTAAATACTCCTGTGAGATCTGGGGAGCGCAGGAGTCATTGGACCTCTTGCTGCTGTAGCACTGGAGGGTGCTGCTTCAGGTTGGAGACATTTTCAGCTTGATGCCAGTCTATACTGAAGTGTCTGAACTCCCTATAAGCAGAAGACAGTGGGAGACACAAATAGGTAAGGATGTATTTGTCAGTGATGGATGGGGAGCTCAGCACAGTGTACTGCAGGTATATACCTTTTGGGTGAGAATCAGGCAGGAACTAGGTAGTGGTGTGAGGGCAGAGCCCTCTGCTCTCCAGCAGCTCCCAGTGCTAGTGCAATTGAAGGAGCTGGTGTCAACTCTACACACAGCCTTAAACTCATTTTAGCAATGGGTCTATGCTCAGCTGGTCCTTCTTCCAGCTTTGTGACTGCAGAGAAGTATGTGAAAATGATTTGCAAGTATTTTTGTTTGCTGTTTTTGACATCACTTTTAGCTCTGTACCTGATGAATATTTATGTAACTATGCATCAGCTTGAAGGGGTTTTTATCCCTTTCATCCCTGTCCTTTTTAGGAGACACGTGAAGAAAAGGTTTTAGTGGGGTTTTGATTAACCGTTTTCTCCTTTCCTCCCTATGTATTTACTTCTCCAGCTTTCATTCATTTAACCATCATAATCTGTATGTTTTCAGCTGTCTTTTCACCTGTGTTCCCTTCCCTCTCATTGGAGCCAGCAAGGAAAGTAACAGTGTGTGTGCTGCACACTCCTGCATCAGAAGGCAGGATTTAGCTGATTATGAAGTCTACCATGAATGAAAACAAGAGGGTTTGATATTTTTAATAGCTCTAAAAATCTTGACATATTTGCTGGCTTATTTTCCCCATATTTTAGGTGTGTACCCTTTAGGTCTTATGCAAACCAACTTTCCAAGTTCTTCCTGGCTTAATAGAAAGTAAGACCTAGTGAAGTACCTCCCAAGAGAAAGCTCTCTGCTTTACCAATACACTCTGAAGTCTTCTAGCAGTATTTTTATTTGAAACATAGGTTATAAAATCAATTTGAGAACTTGGACATTCAGCTCAGCATAAATGCAATGAGGAACACCAAACCTCATGGCAGGAGCTGAAATCTTGGCTGTAGAGGGGTGAGATAAGAAGCTTCTGCAATCTCAGTCAAACTCTTGTTGCATTGCTTCCCAAAACAATGCAAAGCTGGCCACAAAATACAAACACTACAAGTCCAAAAGGAAGTTGTAAGAGGAAATCTCACTTGTTATTTCTATGCTTGTCAAGAAAGGAATGAATTAAATCAAATCTGTGGTATTAACATTCTTTCTTTTTCAAGGGAGAAAGTGGCACCCAAGGGCTTCCTGGGCTCAGAGGAGAAAAAGGAGAGTCAGTAAGTAAGAAATACAGAATGATTTTACATAACGAGATGGAAATGCAAGTAGTTTTTTCTCCTTTATGGTGAGAACTTGCTCACCATGTCAATGTGCACTGTGGAATATGTTCCCTCTGCTGGGCCTTAATCCCAGGGGGAAGCTAATCTTTCTGCCACCCGCTGTAATTTCTTGGAGCAGGATGGAATAAATGGGTTCATCCCTGAATAAAGCTGGTAACTGACTTAGTGTTGGCCTTCTAATTAAAATATGTTACTTGGGTATAACACACCTGTGCATCTAATGGGGACAATGTGAGGCAACTGAACACAACAAAGATGCAAATCTCTCAACTGTTTTACATTCATATGACCAAAGTAGAGCTTTCCTCAGCTGCAATTAATGCAAATGTCAGGCTGAGGTTTTAGGTGAGAAAATCTTTAACCCTATGTAAAATTTATTCTCATGAGTATTGTTGGCATCTTTGATCTTGGAACTGTAATGTCAGACTCTGCCCTGAATAAAAAATGTGTTTCTGACTGCAGCAGGAGAAGTGGGGATAGGTTTACTATTTTAATTTGTCACTGAATTATTACTAAGGAATTATGCCCAAATAAAATTGCTTTCCCTGCAGCAGCTGTCCTGTGACTTGCATGTATGTACAGATAGATAGATATAGAGAAAGATGTGATATATATGGAGAGATAGATGTATTTCAGATATATAACAAGGAAAAGGTGAAATACATATTTACAATGTCCTTTGATATGCCTTTTTCCTTCTTTCATTTCTAGGGTAGAATCTATGGCAGAGGAGAAAAAGGAGAAAAGGTAAGATCTAATCCTTCATTGGACTAATTAAATTAGAGTTGCTTGCTGTTGGTTTCCATAGCTCACAGGTTGCTTTTGGAGTGCACAGGATGCAAGCGAAGTGATACAGTTGGATCTCTGTGGGGAACTTTTTGATTGTGTTATGTTCCTCCTGCAGATAAGATTCTGAGTGTCCATTGCTTGTCCCCTTTGTGTTCTTTGAGTTTCCTTTGTGCATTGGCTATTTAAAATGCTATCAAGTGGAAATCATAATCGTTGCTTTGTGTAAGCAGCAGCGAGTTTGTGGAAGATAATGCAGTAAAGCAGCTGGCTAGAAGGATGGAAAACAAAGGGAAAGTATAATGTTGAGTTTATTGAATTTTCAACAGGATTAAATCTGGGTCATGAGGAGACTGTCACACTGTTTCTTTTGATTGGATATTTTCATTAGTGACCTGAAGGACAAATGCCAGAATATTTTACTGCAAACACTAGGCAGGAAGTAACAAGACTTGGAGGTTAAAACTGAGGATACAGACTAACCATTGAAAATTGCTAGATTATCTGTCTTGGAAAACCTTTTCAATGATGTTTGTCAATAATGTAAAACAAGTACCATAAGTAGATTAATTTGCATTAAAAAAGATTGGTTTCCAGGCAATTCTGGCTGCAAACTTCCCATTCCCCACAATAAAATGAGGCTGAAGACCTAGAATGCAGAGGAGAAGGAGCTCTTCTTCTCTGTAGCTCTGTATCACACCTGGTTGTGGATGTTTTCCTTATCAAAATGAATTTTCAATTTGTGGGAAATGATGGATAAAGATTGACATGAAGGTCTGGGAGATAGATGGATGTATTGAGGAGGAAGTCATGGTTCATGCTGAAAATGGGATTCAGCATCTGTAGAGCTGTTTTCCAGGGTCTGTGGCTACCCATTTGCTCAGGGAATTTAAAATTATATTGGATTGTGGTCTGGTAGGAAGAGTGCTGCGCTAGCGAGAATATGGCACTTATCGCCATTGCATCTTCTCATTTGTTCTTTCTATGATATATATTGATTGTACATAGTGATAATGTATGTGAAATTACAACCTAAATGAGGGTTGCTCATGGCAGGAACTATTATTGAGCCAGACTAGAGACATGGGGGCTATAAAGTGCACACTTCTGCATCCATCTTCCTGCAGACCTCTTGCTGACAGCCACTCTTTAGCCTTCGAGACTCAGGATTCAGCCTTTGGAAACCAGCTCGTGTTTAGCAGGTGGTGAGAGTCAGTCTGATGGAAAGCACAGTGTTTACAGTATGAGTTGTGCTGCAGTTGAAGCAAGTTCTTGTTTTCTTATGTTTTGATTTCTGCAGAAAAGTGTTGGAAAACATCATCTGTATTTTTGTCATGCCTAGAAAAATACATTTGCAAGTCTTGACTGGAGGGGGAAATATAAAAGGACCCCACAGTATGTGTAGAACTTCTTTGACTGAGATAGCCAAACAACATGTACTGCCCCAAATGAATGTGTAGGCATGGAGATCCTTGAGTTTATGGCCAGCTTGTGTAGTTTATTTGGTACTTCTGCCAGCCAAGGCAACATCTGTGTATTTGAAACCCAGTGTGTTTGTGCCCTGTGGTACACTATGCCCAGTGGCTGAGTGGCTGCTAAAGAGAAAGGATATATCAGGTGTACTTTGCTGGCTTGGTTAAAAAGGTTCCCTGGAGATATAGAATCATAGAATGTCTCAAGTTGGAAGGGATCCATAAGGATCATTGAGTCCCACTCCCTGCTTCTTGCAGGACGGCCTAAAACTAAACCATACGACTAAGAGCATTGTCCAGATGCTCCTTGAACTCTGACAGGCTTCGTGCATGACCACTTTCCTGGAGAGCCTGTTCCAGTGCCTGACCACCCTCTCAGGGGAGAACCTTTTCCTAACATCTAATCTGGACTTCATTCAGAAGCTTCATTCCACTTCCTCATGTCCTGTCACTGGTCCCCAGAGGGAGGAGATCATCACCTCTCTCCACTGCCTCTCTTGAAGAAGATGTAGACTGTGATGGGGTCACTCCTCAGCCTTCTCGTCTGCAAGCTGAACAAACAAGTGACCTCAGCTGATCCTCCTAAGTCTTGTCCTTAAGGGCTTTCACCATTTTGGTCACCCTCCTCTGGACACAGTCTATTAGTTAGGTGTCCTTATACTGAGGTGCCCAAAACTGCTCTCCTTGGTGACGTGCCTGTGTGTCTAATTTTTCCCCAAACACAAATGATCATCTTCAGGGTCAGCCTTCAAGTGCAAAGGTGAGCCTTCAGCAGCAGAAAGGGGTAGGACTGTAACCAGGGGAGATCAGCCATGGAGGTGGTATGCATATGATGGATCACTATTGCATATAGGGGCAGAATTCCATGTTGATGTCTTGGCATCAGAAGTGCCTGTGAGGAGGAAGTAGCCAGAGCCATGAGGATGCAAGTGCTTGTAATGCTAGTTGCCATCTATACTCCTGAAAAAGAGAGGAAAGACTGTGGAATGAAACCCTTCCTAGACAGGAGAACACCTGAAAGAAAGGATTCACATGGCCCCTGTTTGTTTGCCTGCTGTGCTACAGTGGCTGCATGAGCATAAATTCTTATTTTCCACTCTAAGTGTCACAGTTTTATGTCTCCTTCATTTTTATGCGTATGGGCCAGTGCTAGGCAACTGGATCAGAGACAGTGGATGTCAAACAACTGCAGCCTGTGCAATTGTTGCTGTGCATGTGCTGTGGACTGCTCTCTATCCTAAGGCTCACATCCGAAGTGTTGATAGAATGAAGTTACCTCACCTTTGAAATGACTGAGATGACAAGATTAAAATCATCCCCTTATTATATCACTGCTTTCCAGCTATACTAGTGCCTAACACCTGCAGGATCATGCTGTTGCCAAGTTGTGTGTAGGGCAGTAATGTCAGGTCTGAGGCATTTGTTAGAGGGCAAACCCTGCGCTTTTCCAGGAGGACAGCAGACACTGGCCTTGCTTCTCCAGGCCATTACCTCAGTTACATCACTAAGTTAAAGCCAAAATGTTTGTATTAACATACATGCCATGCCAAGCACATCTTTAATGGTAAACCAAAAAATAACAGCAGCTGTGGCTAAAAACGTAATTCATGTTGATGTGAGGTCTTGTGTGACTTTGAAAGCCAAGAAATTCACTGTGTCATGGTTCAAGCAGCAGCTGAGGATGTTCTGTTCAGACTTAAGTATCTCAGCCTGGTAGACAATGCTTTTCACATACAGAAACGTGTATGCACATACCAAGTAATTGTGCTTAGATACAAAAACACAACAATAAAATAATGCATCTTCAGGTGCTCTTGTGAACTGCTCTCAAGTGGGTTTCCTGGGTAGGTGTGATTCAGCTGACAGTGCTCTGTTCTGATTCTTAACTTTCCACTGTTGACTAGCATCTTTCAGCCCTGGTAGTGTGTCCTCGTTTCAGCTGGGATAGAGTTAATTTTATTCCTAGTAGCTGGTGCAGTGCTGCATTTTGGCTTTATCATGAGAACAATGCTGATAATACATCGATGTTTCAGTTGTTGCTAAGTAATGTTTACCCTGATCAAGGACTTTTCAGTCTCATGCTCTGACAGTGAGGAGGGGCACGGGAAACCAGGAGGAAGCAGAAACAGGACACCTGACCCAAACCAGCCATAGGGGTATTCCATACCACAGCACATCATGCCCAGTATAGAAATTGGGGGGAGTCACCCAGAAGGGATGGATCCCTGCTCGGGTCAGGCTAGGTGTTGGTCAGTGGGTGGGAAGCAATTGTATTGTGCATCACTTGGGGGTTTCTTGTCTATTTTCCTTGGGGTTTACACCCTCCCAGCCTTTTCATTGCTATTATAGAATCATAGAATAGTTAGGGTTGGAAAGGACCTGAAGATCATCCAGTTCCAACCCCCTGCCATGGGCAGGAACATCTCCCACTAAACCATGCCACCCAAGGTTCTGTCCAGCCTGGCCTTGAACACCACCATTACTTTAAGTATTAAACTGTTCTTATCTCAATCTGTAGGTTTTCCTTTTTTTCCAGTTCTTCTCCCCATCCCACCATGGTGGGGGGCAGCAGTGTGTGACTGCATGGTATGTACTTGCTGGCTGGGGTTAAACCATGACATAGTGTTTAATCCCTGTGGCATTAGATGTAGTCTGTCATATTTCTGCTCACAAATCTGTATTCCTTTACTGTGTGGTCATTCACTTGTTTTACACACCCATATGTTAATAAATTGATTATTATACATAGGCAAATATCCAATTCTATAATATGATCACTATGAAGGGCAATGTTTTGGCTTTATTCTGTAGGTTATTCAAACAGATATCAGATGGCCTTGTCCTGCAAGGGTTATAACTCAAATCTTCAAACCTCTGTTGATCCAAGAGGAGCACGAGAGGAGTGAGGGCAGAAGAAACACCTGTAGAGTGTTTTTGGATGTGATTCAAGCAAGATGGGGTTTCAGTGACTTGTCCGAAGTCAGGGAAACCATGTATGACAAGGAAGGTTCAGTAGAGCATGAGGTCTGCATTCCTGGGGCACAGCCATCCACATCACGAGCCAGCCTACCCTTCTAATGCCTCTGTGCAAAGTTTAACTTAGAGGCTTTCTAAAACTGACACCCATGTCTTGCAAAGTACAAAGTATTAGGCACTGGTGGTGAGGCATCCTAAAGGTCAATGGTAGGGAGAAGTCTCTGCAGATGGAAAGTGCTTGGAAAAGCGATGACTTTGGAGGGGGTATGATGAAAATCTGTTAAACTTTGAGAGGTATGGAGATATCAGTAGGAAAATATTTCTCATTGTTCATTCTATTGTAAAAGCTAAGGGGAAGCAAATCAAACTAGCTGCTGGCAAGTTTAAAATGAACAAAATGAAGTTGCTTTTCATACAGTTGATATTCAAGCTCTTCATTGCAGTCAGCTCTGGAGGTTACAAAAAGTGCTTACAAAAGTGCATATAAGTTAATTAAAGAGAGACATCTGTAAA